AGCCAGTGATGAAAAAACACCTCTGCCACGGAATGCAGTGAGTAGGACTTCCTTAATAGATGCTATTTAGAGACGCTGGGTTGTATAGGGGTATTTCGCGGGGTGCACACTGAGAGTGGCCAGCCACAACGCGGACACCTGCCCTCGATGATAGTATAGTTTCAGAAATATCCAAGATCACATTATGTTGTCTTAACGGTCGAACCGTTGAACCGTGATATGTCGCTTAAAACCATCCCTCGTGTTCTTTCCTACCTAACTGAGCAGATCACTGGGTTACGTAATTTATATCATCTTTTTATCTAGGCTACACTGGAAGTGGAAACGGCATGTGATTGTCCAACTTGCGATAAACTTCCTCAACCGGATTATTCCTACACCCCGTCACCCCGTTGCCAATCACGAGGCTATTTACACTGCGGTTCATGTCAGTGCCAACCGGGATATTCAGGCGACTTTTGTGAATGCTCCACGGAGACAACCGCTGGCGGTGAAGCTGCGTTAATTGCTCAATGCACTGCCCCTGGCGACAAGGAAGTAAGTTCGCACCCTATGTCTGATTCTTTTTTACCAAAGGAATCGTGAAAAGCCAGTTTTGCATCGGTTCGCAACCTGATAAAATCTCATTATTGCACCGTTTTCGATTTGTGTATCGAGGGTCAGTGAATGGTCTGAGTACTGCTAGCTACTTAAATAATACATGGAGTTCATTAAAAGAAAATCAATCGATAAATTAAATTAAATTTAAGGTCATCACATCGTTGAGTAAGTTACCACATTATGTTTGGAGCGAGGTTCAAATTGAAACAAGAAAACTCGCTGTCGATTGCACTTCACGAACATCACATAATGCATGACTAAATAAGGATAACGTTATCTTGCTGTAACTGTTCCTGTACATTGTAATGACAGGATTTGGTGTTCTCGATGAACGGTCATGCTAAAAGCTTGCGATTTCTGAGGTTTCTGTCTCGGAAATCACGATGAACTGGTCAGTTTCAGATAGTAAGCTTCGTCTTGGACTTTTACTTTGAGCTTTTACAAACAGTCATCCTGCTATCTGCAAATCCTTCATTTTCTGAGATCATTTAGCCTATTTCTTTTCAATTGGTTATTGGCCGTGATCGTAGGTTTCCACAAGTCTGTTGTCAATAGAGCTGTGCTCTACCGGAAGCACATCCTATTCACGGAAGGAACGGCCACTTGGGTGATTGAACGTGAACAGGGTATGAACGCCTCACTGAAGCGGACGCAAACGATGTCTGAGGACGTGTCCGGTTTTCTAATAACAATCGTCCTCTCTACAACAACATAAAACCATAGAAAGTATTTTGACGTGCTTGGATCCGGCCCGCCACCAACGCTAGAGCTAGAGACGAATATTTAAAGAAAAGGCTGAATGGTCCCGGGCATGTTGCAATATATTCTTGACATTCTGCATAGATGTATTTATTCATGAAGCCAACCTATCCCCACGTTGGAGCCAGTCATCTCACAAGGAAAGAAAATAAATTTGCCATGATAGACCTATTCTGTCTCCCATTTCGTATACTTTTAGGTGCCTTCCGTCCAAGTCGTAATGTTTAGCGCGAACATATGTACATTCATAAATAATTTACTATCTCTGTGAATCGCTAAAATCAATGATCGTTCATCATGAAAACAGGTGATCCGACCTCTGAGATCTCATAAAGCCCCATTGGAATAGAATTAATATCGAGACGCCGTACGATGTAAACAAATCTACTTGCTTTTTTATTTACCTGAACTTGTATTCACCAGGCAGAATAAGTGCTCTAATGATGGCCTGTTGTTCACTCAATGCCCTCATCTCTTACTATTCTCTATTTTCTCTGGCTCACTTCGTCATATATGAGCATCATTACTTCCTTTGCCTCGTAAGTGCTCTTGTTTAGGTTTGCATATTGCCGATTCACCACACTTTCTCCTCACATTTTCGCACCCGCGTAGTTCAACTGTCGAAGTGGCATGAATTTCCTCTCCGGCTCAGGATAGAAACCACTGTTTTGAATGCTGTAACTGTTTATTGCAGGTCCTTCTTCCCGCTGTCCAACTGATAAACAACAAATTGGATTAATTCTGTTGTATATATGGTAAAAGAAGAGTGAACTGAAAACTGTGTAAACGTTTCGACCTTTTGGGTGTCTTATCAGTGGTGCGAATCTCCCTCTAAGTTGGAGGTCACTGGAATGCAGACATACTACCCACTTGAACACCATGGATTCAGCCATCCTGCTCTACCTTGTTTGTATAGATTATGACAGAACTCACAACATCACAAATACGTACGACACAGAGCAACGAAAACGCCATCCTTCTACCACCCCGCGATGTTTACCGCTCTGTTTGTGTGTGTGTGTGTGACGTGGCTACCCATATCTTTCGGTTGCTTATACTGCTAATGCTAATGCTGCCAAAGTTAAATATCTATATACACCATTGTTAATCAGAAAACTGCGGGGCACCTCTACCGTCGGTGTTGCTTTTTTTAAGATAAATACTGAGACTGTTAAATGAAATTGAACAGTTGCTGCAACAGATTCCTGAATTCATTTACTGTTTCCTTAATTTTCAGTATTTTCCATCACGCTCCATATTTGCCATTTGTCTACTAGTTCAACTGGAAGGGGGCGAGCAAAGCCGCTGAGTTAGTGTGCCATGTTAATGTTTATATGCACCGAGCTTCTCGGAATTAGAGAAAAACATGTGACCCTCTTATCCATTGAATTGTAAATTTCCACATTAATACGTAAAACAGTTTATTCCTCGTGTGCTTTTCTACACGATCTCCATTTTTCGGCAATAAACGAATCAGTGTACGAGGCTTGTACGCTACAGGCTTGGCGTCACTATTGATGATCGATTGTTCTGCCCTAATCTCTCATACACACTTCTGTTCTTCGTTAGATGTTGGTTCTCTCTGCGAAATTGAACACAAATCATATAAAACGAGTTTGAACGACCATGGGGTCACGTGTATCCTGATCACCCCCATATTACCCCATGGTGAGCGTATGCCCAAACCGTGCAGTTTTCTTACCCTGATATCTTATTTGCCAATGGCCTGCATCTTTGTCCATCCTGGTACACACTGTTCAATGTGGTGCATAGGGTCTCTTCTGTACCACTGTCAATCGATCCGGTCCTAATGAGTCATCTTGTTGCAGTTCTGGCACATTTCCTATTCGTGGCAAGCCACACCCATTGTGCAATGAATCATTAATAAGGTCTAGATTGCCGACTTGTGCCCACACATTAAAATGAGACTAACCACCTCCCGATATNATATGTCTATTGGTGTACCCAGTGTGTGTATTCGGAACACTTCCCCTGCACTGCTTTTCATCTTCCATCCCCATAAATGTGCATCACTAGTAACGCGTCAATATGGTTGCTGCTCACACGTCCGCTCCTTGCCGTTTCACGCTTAAGATGTGTCTGCCTCGGTTATCTAATCACGTACCCTGTTGTATGACCTTAGA